AAATAGGTGCAAGGGATTGTTGCTCTCTTTTGCACAGTTGCTATCTCATTCTGTAAGCTATTCTGGTTAATGTTAGATGATTGTAAAGACTGGCGATTTTATAAAGTAACCCCTGATAGCTCCTAAACAGAGAATTATAAGGTTTCTCATGACTATGAATAGCAAGTTTTTTTAAAGGAGACTTGAAAACAAAGTTCTAAACAGTAATGCATTCTAAAGCAGAAAAATCACAACCAGGCAGTGACCCAAAAATTATGATTTTTTCCTAAGTGCACTTAGAGAACAAACAAAGGAGCATTCTGGTTGAGTTCTAAATTGGGTATATGAATCATTTGTGCAGATTTTATTGCATATATTCTTTATTTTCAACTTAATAACAAATTGTTGAGCGAATCTGTACATTGCATAACACTTCTGCATTTCATTGCATGTGGATATTTTATCAATCTATTGAAGTATTTGTGCCTGAACATGGGAGCCTGGGTACCAGGTAGAGCTTTTTTGATACATTTGGAACTGTGGCAAAAGGCGACTCTGCAAGACTGTTATTCTTCATTAGCCTTGCCCTGACTCAGGGTAAATTCTCTCCCTTGATGACTACACTATAGTAAGATGGATCACCTAATTCAACAAGTCAAACTTATCCTTGAATCAATTCTCTAAAGTAAAAACCAGGAATGAAGAAGTTTTATGATAATTTCAGTAAAAATTGTACCTTCCAGTGATTCTTTAGCATCACAAATCAAAATATTTAAGGAAAGTAGGAGGCATTATACATAAAAATGAAGGCCCTAAGTGGTCTAAAAATATATGTTATTCATCTGGGACTTCTAGGTTCTAGTCACTGTTAAATCAACAATTTGGACTTCATGTGACCATTTCAAACTGGCGGTAAATTGAGCTCTAACACATTGCTCTCACACTCCCATTCTTCAAAAGAGCAAGAGTAAAATACAAAACATTGTAAATTTTTCTTTAATAATTTTTAACTATTAGCACTATTAGCTATTAGCACAGCTAAACAAGCTGTGTTGTTTCCTTGTATCTTTTCATACTATATTTAAATTGCCTCATTTCTATCTCCCAGAATCTTAGAATTGCCAACTCTTTTAATTGTAGAGTCATAGAATGAATCGTAGAATGGTTTGGGTTGGAAGGGACCATTAAAATCATCTAGTTCCAACCCCTTGCTATAGGCAGGGACGTCTCCCTCTAGACCAGGCTGCTCTTCTGAAAAAAAATCACAAGAAAATAAAACATGCTCCAAAAGCAGTAAGAAAAGTGATGCTATCCTGGAGATAGTATGTGCTCTTTCCTGAGAGGTAGTTTTATTCTCCTAAATGAATGTTTTGAGGTTTATGAGTCATTGCCCTTTATCACATGGTGCTTTGTTCTTTTGTCCTCGAGCATTTTCCTTTTTTTTTTCCCTTTCATTTTTTTTCCAGCTTCTGTGACAAAGATGGACAGAGATGGTGAAAGCACTGAAGAGATGTCTGGTTTGTTTTACACTCAGATGTAATTGCATAAATGCTAGAAAGTTCATAGCCTGACAGAATGTGCAGTGCCCTGTCCTTATTTCCACCCTTTGCTGTCCCCATCTTCCCTGCTTCTCCTCCCTTGGTTTGGGCCAGTACTGATTGCCATCTCAGCAGAGCATTGTCGGACTTTTTTAGCTTCAAGATGTTTAACAATTAATTGTGTATGTGTAGCATGCAACCAATACCCACCTGCTGTCAGGGGGCTTGGCCAGTTGACTCTATATCTAAAATGTCATAGCACAAACATTATGAGTTACAAAGATTGCTGATGGCAATGGAGGATAAAGGTAAATAAAGCCATTGCATTTTAGTTAGCATCATACACTGAAAAATCCAGAAGTTACTTCTATTGAAAACAAAGCTGTGGAGAGTATAAAATCAAGTCTTCCTTCAAAGGAACAAGTTAGATGCTCTCTAATCCTACAGTATATATATTTTTGTAGGGCTCTATATGTATAAAAGATTCTCATTTTCCGTTAGTGTCTCTTTGCTACAAGGAAAATGAGAAATGAAATTAATTATCTATTGCTAGGACAGAGCTCTTGCTGGAAGGACAAACTGTCAAAGTGGCGACCTGTTATCTTTAGTGCCCTTAGGACAGCACAGCACAACCTGTGGTGATGGCAGCACCTTATGAAGCAAACCATTGCTTTGAAGCTGTTGATACTGATAGTTGGCATTGCTTTTACACAAGCATATTGCCAAAACACTTCCCAAGCAGTTTTTTCTAGCTTTATATGAAAATTTATTTACATATTCTTCAGTGCTCTTAGGGAAAATTCAGAGTATAACTTAAATATGGACATTTTGGAAGAACCAATGTACTATAGCCTTAGCAAGAATCACCTCTGTATTTCTCTATAACTGCTTATTAGATAAATTCATGATACTTCTTTAGTAATGGCAACAGTCTCTGTTGTTTTTCAATGCTGATGTAACGACATCCTTCAGTTCAGAGTTATTTTTACCAGCTGTTCCTCTATTTATAGCCCAAGGTTGCTCCCCATAGCAATCAGTGAGTAAGGGATAGTCTGAAGTCCTATACAAGCCCCGCATTTTGAAGATCTGTGATCAGCTGGTTTTAAGGAGCAATGTGGTATAGCAGTGAAAACTTGGTGAATCATTTTAAGTACTTGTGTTTTCCCCATCTTGGCTGCCTGCAGCTGTTTTGTCTAATTTTGTAGCTTTTATTTCAGTGAACTATGTCTCTGAGCAATTTTTCTTTGAACCTTGCTAAGTGCTGTGATGAGCAGGTGTGCCAGTGGCTCCTTTTATCAGATGCACCCAAGGTACTAGGCCCTGTTGGAGACAGCTCAGTCCCTCTAGCCTTCACATGTAGATTTACACGCTCTGAGCCTCTGTTTTTCCTGTGGAATGGATGGATGTCCAGCTTGGTGTGGCTTGATGTTTTTTTCTCCCCCCCCAAAGACAGTTCTCCCGTATCTGCTTTGAAAATGTAGAAAGCAAGTGAAATAAAAAGTAATTAGACTGAAGACCTGCCTGTATATTTCCACACATTTAATCTTTACTTTTTCATTCACCCTAGCTGACCTTAGCCTTACACCATTTTTTCTGTCTTTGAAAACATTGTTGCTTGTCTAAATGAACTGGCCAACTATTCACACCTCCTCTCTTTAAAACATTGTCTTCAAAAGTACAATTATATCCTTTGATCCTGATACTTTAGTCTGGAGAAATATGCCTGAGAACAGTATACAAATCCATCTAGAGGTTATCCTTCCATTTAGGAGGAACTCTCCTCCAGACTGAATACCTTGCAAAAGTATTTCTTGGTGTTGTGTGATTTTTCTCTTGGTTTCCCCCACACAGTCTGATTTGCTTTGATGCTGTACGCTTGGCCAAGACTATCACACACATTACCAGGAAGATGTGGTATTTGCATGCCCTATAAGCAGAATGCAATTTCCTCAGGCAGTGCAGAAAGGCAAAGTCAGAAAGAATTAATCTTGTTTCTGTTTAAATTGTAAAGATAAATACATAAATAAAATAAAGAGATAGGGAGCATAGCAATTATATTTCTTTCTCATAGTTCTAGACATATATTGCAAATATTGCATGTCCCATTCTTGTCCTTCCAGAGTCAACATGTCTAACTTGCTTCTTTGTTTGAGGAATGTGGATGAAAAATCAACGTTTTAACTCTGAAATATCTAGTTTTGAAAATGCCAGTGCTTGAGAGGACAGCCAGAAAGAAAACATAATTTAAAATAGTTAGTGTAACGAGACAGTCTTATCTCAGACCTTCATATATCAGACTCTTCTTCTTTCTTGTTTCATTAGAGGCAGTGGTCAAATCTTTGAGTGCCATGGAAATTACAGGTTAGCATGTATGGGGATATTCTTCCCTTTGAAATCTGAGTTTGATGTTTCCTTAGAGCCTCGTGTGTCTCAGACAAGAATTATTAATAGCCCTCACATGGGACACCCTCATAGGTGGCTGCTGTGAAAAAGCTACCCATGAGTGCTTCTGAACTGTGCTAATTAAACAAATCTGATGGCTATCTTGTCCCTGTTGTCATAGACAATTTCCAGACAGCAACATCTTACAGCTTGCCAAAAGAAGACTTTCAGAGGAGGAAAGAGTAAATGGAAATTTCAAAATCTGTCTAAAAGCTGTAAAAGCTCGTCTTGTCTCTGCTGCAATAAGGGGAATGTCAAGGGTTTACAATGGTATGTTAAGTAGTGATAGATTAGTAACGTATGTAGGTAAATCTTATTTGAGTAAGGTATGACCCCCAGATGTTTCTTCCAGCCTGAATAATTCTATGGTTAAATGGACGTATGAGATATTATCTGTAAATGGTTGTAATGCTTCAAAATCTTGATCTGTCTGTTGTGGCTTGATTGTTAACATTTTCCTTAGAAGAATCTCTGTCATTTATTATTCTATAAATTATTTATATTCCCTTAGAAAATTCTCTTCCACATCTTTAGTTAAGCCATAGAAGGAGTCAAAAGCACAAGAATCCTGAATTCTATTCTCATCTGTCTCAAAGTTATGTCTTTTTGGCCTCTGCTTTTATGGAAATGGGCTGTTTTGTTCCTGCATGTCTGCCATTTGATAAAATAGAATGAAAAAAAAAGTCAATTTCCCATATAAGAGTAGGAAGACAGTTAATTAAAATTTGCTTTGAAATTCTTGCGCAGAATATGTTATTTACTCTTTTGCCTCTTCTTGTACTTTCCATAATATTATCATTCTATCCTTAGGCCTAATTGGATATTTTAGCTCTCTTAATTACTGCTTTGATCTTGTTTTTAGAAGTTTTCATGAAGATGGAGCTCAATGAAGTAATTGGAAAGATTCCAGTTGATATCAGCTTTGCATGAACCCCAAGATGCCAAACAAAATGTGATAGTTGAGGATTTTTTAAGAAAAATACTTCAAATGTTTATTATCCCTCTTTATATGTGTTGTTTAGGTGATGACCTGAAAAAATCATGTCTGAGGTCCAGGGTACAGTCGAGTTTTCTGTGGAGCTACACAAATTCCATAATGTGGACCTCTTCCAGAGAGGGTGAGTTGATGTCTCTGTTAATTTGCAGCTGATTATAGAAGAGTTATTTTCAGAAAACAGTTACAAACCAAAACAGATAATTTTCTGCCAAATAGAGTTGTATTTCATGCCATCTCCAGAGCAGGGAAGGATGTCATTGGGTTTTCTCTGCTGTCAGGGAGGATCAATGTACATTACTTTCACTATAAACTCAGACTGACGGACTTATTTTTGTCATAAAGTATTGTAATGCTCCAAATTATTTTAAGCATCTGTTCAGACATAAACACAATAGCCACTTTAAATGCTTCTGGATTGGTGTTGAGCCTCTGTGCTAAATGGTAACTGCTTTGAACTTTAATGAAAACGCATTCACTGTAGAGTTGTAAATCTTACGACTATTCTTTTAATTATTTTAATGGATGTTAATTTAACCCCACCATTTCAGAGAGGAATGTGAATATTCCTGTTCACTTGAAGTTCTAGTTCTGATAGCCATATTGTATTTTCATGTCCCTTTAAGTTAGAAGAACACGTACAACTTCTGCTTTACTCAAAATTTTGCCCCCATTCTTTTGCACCACTTTTCCTAATAGCCTTTATACTAACCCAGCAGCTGTTGAATGGAGAAGCCTAACCAAATGTGAATAATTGTTCTACTTGCATATTGGACCCCACATTTTTTCAGTGAGGAAAAATATACTAAAATACTTGACCAGATGGGTCAAAAGAATGTACTTCATGGACAACTGTGGGTCTTGTGGAGTATTATTTTCTTTCATCTAAGACAACTGAAGTGTACAGCACATTACATATACTCTTCAATGCCTTAGTTTTGCAAAGGAATGGTTAATAGCTGATTTGTCCATCTTGAGTTTCATTTCTGGTGACAAAAATATGGAATTGGTTCAGGTATTGGGATGAGTTAGCTAAAGCTGTTTCCATCTAGTTGTAGGCTTTTTTTGTTATTTGCTTTTACTGTGATGAATTATGTGTTAAAGATGCCATGAACTTGGATGAAGGAAGCACAGCTGTATTCTGTTTTAACAGCTGGCATCTGACATTCTGTTAATGCTTCCAAGTGAATATCTGTCACAGTTCCATTATAAAGCATTCTGACTACAGCAAGTGCTTATGTTAAACAGAAAAAAAAGTCCTCAGTGTTTGAGGTGTTTGGTTTATTTGCATCATAAGTGAACATTTTTATGTACCTTGGTGTTCATGATCTTAGAAGACAGTCCTTGGCTGTAGATTCTTAATTTGATGGTCAGTGTAATAATGCACTTGATCCTCCTCTCATTTGAAAATGTGCACCCATCTGTGGCCTCAGTGATTTGTTTGGACTTCAGTGGTAGGATGCTCGAAGCTTAGACATCTCACACTGCTGAGCTACCTTTTTTGTTGTTATCATATAGACCTGTATCTGTGAAATGCTTTCTTTGGCTTTGACAGTCAGATCAAATCTCTGGTGTGAGGGTAGGCCTAGCACTATCACAGATAATATATTCTGCTGTCACACTAATGAGTTCCTAATTACCCTTTCTTTTTTCTCCCACTGGTGCTTACCCTGCTTTACTGATTAATATTCCAAACATGTGCAGGGCTATAGGTTATATTGCAATAATTTGTTTATTAAATTTTTTCTTTCTTTGTAACCTTTGCACAGTATTATATGTATTTTTTTTTCTTTCATAATTTTACTAATTACATTTCCAATAATATCCTTTACTGCATCTCACATTTGCTGATCATCATCATCTGCCTGGCTTCATCTACTCAGTAGCTCTTATCGCTGTAATATGAGAATATGAAGAAAATGAGTAAATGATTTTGCCAGATTTCATTTTAACTTGGGTGCAGTTATTTTTCCCCTACTACTGTTGTTGATATTCACAGTGGACATCTGGAATATCTTGGATTGACATATAGTCTCTCTGGATGAGAGGATGGTAGAAGTAATGATAACAGGAATTTTCTATTTAACTAGTGTTTTTCTTCTCTGAGTACCCTGTAAATTGAGTCAATATCATTCTGTCTCACTGAAGGTCAAAAAGGCGATTTGTGAAAGGTTGTCCATCAGGATAGCAGTGGACCAGAAATGAATCTTAATTTATCTGGAGGCACACTGCTGTGGTTTTTTAACAGCAAAAGCAAGAACAACAATGAAGAACATTATTAATGATTAAGCTAGTAAGTAAAAAATGAAAAATCAAAACCAAGGACATGATTACATTTCCTTAGAAGTACATAGAAGCCTTGCTACAAAATCAATAGAAGTAGACTGGAGCTTCAGTCACCAAATTCTGTGGAACACCACTAGATTTGTGTGCCAAATTGACATTGGGCTGTATGGTTGAAATTCCTGAGTTGGTACAACATAGCTGCGCAGGAATGAAATTTCCAAAGCACTTAGTCTGGGCTATCTGTCCTTCTTGAGAATCTGGATTGTTTGACTGGATGTTGTCCCAGATTTCAAGTAGGGCAAGAAAATTTTCCTTGTAACTGCAGGTCTGTCAGTCTCACTTCAGTGCCTGGTAAAATTATGGAGATTATTCTGGGAGTTACTGAAAATCACCTGAAAGACAGTGTAGTCATTGGTCATAGTTTACGAGAGGAAATTCCTGTTGAATTAACTACATTTTCTTTTATGGTGAGGTTACCCATTTAGTTGCCCAAGGAAAGACAAAAGATATAATCTTTCGGATTTAAGCTAAGATTTCAATACTATATCTCACAATGTATTTCTGGACCTTAGAGAGGGATCTGGAAGTTCTGGCTGATGGCAAGTTGAATGTGAGTCAGCAGTGTTCTCTGGCAGCCGCAATCATCAAGTAAGCATTGAGGTGCACCAAGCCCAGCACTGCCACTGGGCAAGGGGAGGCGTTGTCCCCTCTGTTCACTTCCAGTGCTGGGAGCAAAGCAACAAAAGGACATACAAGTATTAAAGAGTGTCCAGAGGAGGTCTATGAAGTTGGTGAAGGGTCCAGAGGGCAAGGCATATGAAGAACAGCTGAGGCCCCTGGGTTTGCTCAGCCCAGAACAGAGGAGCTGAGGGGAAGCCTGATGGCGGCTGCAGCTCCTTACAGGGAGTGGAGAGGCAGCGATGAGCTCTACTCTCTGGAGAGCATAGTTGAGCCAACAGCAAGCCCGTGAGAGAAGAGTCCTCAGTGCAAATAATGGCATGAATAAATCATCAAGGTTTAGCTAGAGAACCCTGGAAGAATCAGTCCTTCTGAAGCCATTAGGTGTTGGTTAGTAATCAGACTGATTAAGAACATAGTCTGCTGGCCTAAAGCCACACAGCCAAAGTGCTTTAAAATGTTAGTCCTTCAGTAATGGTTCTGGTTCTATTTGTGGTTTCTCTGGAAGCTATTTTGAACTGTGTAAGTACACAGAGGCTGTTGCCATCTCTCCTTTCCCATGAGAAGTGGAGACTCCTTAATCTACATGAATTCTACATTGTGATATTTTAATCATTGCCTTACAGTCTAAAACTAATGTTTCTTAGCCTGTATAAATGGTTAATAGAGACTGATACAGAAAGCAGTCAGGGGCTTTTGTAAATGCTTTTATGATTTTATGTTTCTTGCATACGTAACAAAAAGAGTCATCAGAAAAATATATGTTACAAGTAGTTTGGTCAATTATTGCTGTTAAATTTATCTTTTTCTAAAGCACAAACGAAACAGTGTCAGAATTTGCCGATATCAGAGTTTAAATGCTGTAAGCACTGACATACAGGAAGAACGAACCTTTTCTTTGGACAAGCCAAAGGATTTGCTGAGCAGTTTGAAAAATAGAGTAATAAGTAATGCAACTTCTGGAAGAAAAAGTATTTTTAAGTTTTCTGTCCTAATTCTCTCCATCACATTCCACTTAATAACTGGTGACAGATATTTTCTCAAGTGAAATTAGCTGACTGATTCTGATATTTCTTAATAGAGAAGGAAATAAAATTATCCATGACTTCCAGAAATCAATTAATTGATTTTTCTGGTTCTGTCAGAAGAAATTCTTCTGCATCTCTTTTTCTTAAGGCATTTCAAAATATGTATGATGGATTACCTTACTTAATAACAAAACCAAACTAAAAGCAACAGAAAACACGCTAGTAAGTTCACAAGATAAGTAACTTTTGAAGTCTGGGAGGGAACAGAGGGCACAAAGAGAGTGATACTCTGTCTTCATAACTTTGGGATTCTGGCAATTATATGTTGAGAAACAAGGATTCAAGGTATGTCCTTACCAGCCACAGGGTGGAATCAAATGCTTATCGGTCCTTTCATTCCTCAAATTCAGTCTGTAATTTATAAATGTCTCACACTTACACTGGTGTTTGTGTTTAGAGAGTGATGATGATAAAAATCAGTGGAAAAAAAATATTCCAGCTTCTTCTAAACTGGATGCAGATTTGCCCAAGTGACCAGAGAAGTGGTCTCAGTGTTTCTGGTACCTTGCAAGAATCAAAGAACTCTTATGATCCAGACCTGTCAAAAATATGATGGTAAATCTTAGCAGACAAAGTCTTTACTTAATAAAACATCACTCTTGCCTATTGGATGGACACCAGTGTTTCATGCAGTCAGTCATGACATAGTCCACTTCAGTGGCACAGTGAAGTATCTCCTTTCCTCAGCATGCAGGGGTTCTGCAATTAACCGTGGCTTTTTCTGCCAGAATGGATACCTTGGAAATATAAATTATGATCAGAGATTTAGACCTCATTTCTTGAAGACTTATAGGTACTGTGTCAGAATGTACAAGTAAATAAATAAAAAGTTTAGGACAGAAGCAAATCTTGTTACTTTATTTCCCACTGATACTCATTTCCTAAAACTTCTAACCTGTAATGAAATATAAATCACTTTAAGATTATAAATCTATTTCATTTTGAATGTACTTACTTAATTTATATAAGATGCATATAAGATGCATGGATTTTTTTTAACATAAATGAGATAAAAAGAAAATGAAGAGAGCTAACAGGCATGCCAGAATGATGTTTTCCTAGAATAATGATT